AATACCATATTGATAATAGGAGTCAACTAAAAACATACCAATCAAGTAATTTAACCAAATCTAGAGTACATCATCATACATCATAGAAGTCAAATGAATTGTTGAAGTCAATAAGTAACTCTAATATCCAAACCGAATAAACTATGAGTAAATATCTCAAGTACCATCCGCTAGATAACTAAACCTTACCTAAGAAAATAACTAGACAATGAATAATGTCTACACAAATGTAAGAGAGGTAAATCACATGGCTTGTACTTTCTTGACATTTAATAGCAATTTCAATGATTCGGTAGGACAATGCATGGTGTCGAAGTAAATAAATAGTAATGTAGTGGAGAAGCTAGTGGAATGATGAATAGTTGGATAACTTTTCCAAGTATCCGATCAAATCAACCTCATCATATTAATTGAATAAAAATTAATTATTATGAATTGATTTATAAGCAAAATAAATTCATATATTAATTAGCTGATAGGAAATATAGAATGGTAATATCCAAAAGAAGCTGATGGTGATAGTTGGGCGCATTGGAAATCGTTTTACTCATGAACTCACTTTTAAGAGATACCGCCACAAAATAACCATTGTTATTAAAATATGCCCAGAGAGACATGGCCTGATGTGTCTCCGAGTATATCCTTTAAACAATGGCTTGCCACAACCGATATAAGGCCCATCTCATAATATCCCTTTACCCGGTTTTTTTTTGCCTAAATAATTGGGAGATATATTTCTAATAAGCGGGCTGATATAATCTAGACGCGATTTATTGTAAATGATACCTTTTATATGGTTTTTGTTGGGCAAATAGATACTAATATACCCCCGTTTGATCGATTTTTGGGCAAAAGACATCAATGATCGTTTTTCATTATGATCAATATGATACTTCGTTGGCTACAAAAAAAAATTGACAAAATGTTGCAAATGTTGATTAACTTTCTATCTTGTTTTTATTAAGGTTGAATAAGAATTAAAACAATAATATTTATCTACAATTTTGTATATCTTAGATTTCTTAACTAAGTTTGATGATTACAGTTTTAGTGAATTATACTATAATATGCAAACGAATCCATTATTACATTAGCGCAATATTTACTATATACCGGCCAATATTTCTGCTGATGATCTCTACATATCCGATATGAAATTTTGTGGTCATAGCGATAGTTTTCTGGTCTCCGATTCTTAAAACCTTAACGAAATACAATATATGAAACATGTATAACATTCATGCATAGAATAACTACGCGCGCCTTGTGCTTAGCCACATGCATTAAAACGCAAATTCTCTGGCTCCGAGCCCCAGGTGGCTTCATCGCTCGGCAATCTTTCAAAAACCTACTTGGCACACAAACTGCACATGGCCCGTTGCAACAGACACTTTGAAACATAATTAGAAAGCTTTTCTGTAAACTTAAGTGAAAGTGAAGGAGCTTAGTCCACCAAGTTTTCTATCCATTAGAAATTGGCTTTAAAATAGGAAGTTATAATCTGTGGTGGGGTATGATGACTACGTCAGCGTGGCTGAGAGGGGTTACACCTGTATTCTAAGCCCGCATCATAGGATGAGGCCTAGTGTAAAAGTTTAACTCGTAGAAACTGAATCATCAGCTCACTGTAAGTGTAATAACATATACCCATTAGTCGCATACTCAGTGCTGTACGTGCAAGTTAAATAGTTACAGATTGTTGGAACTTACATAGGGAAATATAAAATCTCGGCCCCATAGACTCTGCAAGTGATTGCTTTTGAATTTGGTCAAATTTTGCTAGTTCGAGTTTCTACTTGCTGGTTATGGGCAGACAGTAGATTAGTTTGAAGGTAGCAAGTTTGTCTAACCATATTTTGATTCTGAGGCATAACCAATGGCGTTTTCTTGAGGAAGAGCATAGTTCATTTTCTGATAGTTGTTCTGAAAATTCCTTAATCAAAATCTTTATCGCTCACCTTTTATGATAATCATGTTTCTTACAAATCCATTTCCGCCAAGAGTCCTATTTTAAGCCGAATCTCATCGGGCCACCCGAAATGGACTCTTTCTTACTGGCAACGCAAGACGCAAATCCTGAAAAAATTGAAAAGTAGCCCATAATACCCTAAAATTAATGTAATACCGCACCATATTATAAATGCAGGCACTCAAATCATCAGTTGGAATTGTTTGGAAACTGTATAGTATTGGTTCACTATTGTGGGGTTTAATTTACTAAAATTCATAATAGAATCTGCAGTTGTTTTAATTACTTTTTGTTTACAGTCACATTTATAATAGCTACAACCACCACCAGTTTTATATCGATCAACAAAAAGCCATGGTTAAACTACAAATTTTTAGCTTCTGGTTTCCAGTCAATTCAACAGATAGAAAGCTAGTCCTTACTGCAATCATTCAGCCAGCCAAAGTTTCCTTCCGTCACACTTTACAAGTATGGCCATTTTATACATTTTTCACTATAAATATTGATTTTGTAATTTTTTGTTTCCTCGATCTGATGCTTGAAACAAGTTTATATGTTCTTCTTTAATTTGATATGAGCAAAGCTCTATTAGAGCCACGTAAATCTTGATTAACATAAGAAAATATAGTAGGATATGATTGTTTGTTAAACGAACTTTCTTTTGGGTCGTGTTCCTTAATTATGGTGCGAGCTTATACTTCCATTTCATTGGTATTGTTTAGACTCTAATCACTTACCATTCTTACTTTCGTAATACCCCAACAGGATTCATGGTGTCTTGCATGGATAAAATCTAAAAGGCGTGTTGCTATTGGCGGTAAGAAGCTCGCACTTACTTTTTTTTTTTTTGTCATTTTATTCTAAAATTGTATTTCTTACGTATTATTTTAATTTTTGCATCCATAAACCATTAGTAACTATGGGAGCATAACTTGAAAACGCTATATTATACTTGAAAAACCCCATGTTATCGATTACTATAGCAGATCTGACTGAACATATCTTAAAAAAATTTGCCCTCTGAGATTTTGGTGACTTAAGTTATTGATGCATTAATAATTAGACAAATTAACGCTATAATAAACCGCACCGTGTCAAGCTTAAGGGGGTATTCATGAGGTGGGAGCATTTGGGATAATGAGATAATTTTGGAGATTCTATTTCATAGTGTTATTCATCAGGATCAACTGGAATAAGCATATTACATTTTTGTGTTTATTGATTTTTTGGGAGCACTAGGACACAATTTCAGCCACTTGCGATAAAGTTACGCTCCATGCATCAATACAAAGATTGTTGTCCCAATAGTAAAAATTTACTCCATCCTCCATATATGGAACAAATTTTGTTCACTTTTGAGCCAATTTGGATAATTTTTAAACCTTTTTGTACATTACTTAGCTAATAAGCATGACTACTTATATTATAAATATATGACATGATAATATAAAATATAAAAGTAATAATACATTTCAAATAATTTTTAGTATATTATCATGAATAAAAGTAAAATATTATTATACGTTTAATTTATAATGTATAAATTATTCTTAATGAATATTATTATCAAGATATATAATATATTATTATATAATTAATTTATAAAATATTATTATAGTTATTATATATATGACATACTATTATAATATAATATAATAATTACTAATTTTAGTAAAATATTATGATATAATATAATATAATACTATAGTTTAAAATAAAATAATATATTATACTATAACATGATACCTATTAATATATATTATTGTAATTATCATGTTATATATATATTATTTTAATTTCAATATAATATTTTAAAAATATTACATTGAATAAAGTAAAATATTATAATATTTTATACAGTACATTATATCTTATGATACTATATTATAATATATTTAAATTAAATAATATAATATCAAAGTATTATATTAAATATATTGTTCATATATTATATCAATTATTATATAATGTAGCATACTAATATAATAATTAGTAATATCAATTGGTGATTATAGTATAACATATTAAATTTTTGTATAAATAAAATCATGTATTATATTAAATATTATATTAAATATATTGATCTTGTATTATATTAATTATTATATGGTATAGCATGCTAATATAATATAATATAATAATTAATAAATATTAATTAGTAATTATAGTACAACATATTATATTTTAATTTAAGGTAAAATAATAAATATATTATAATAATATACTAAATAATATACTATACCAATTGGATAAGTTAATTTAGAAGTAATTAATAGATAAAATTATATTTTAATAAAGTGCTACGTCATCAATTATTCCACATGAATTGTCAAATCAAAAGCTCAAATTGTCTCATTATCCCACTTATCCCACTTTATCCCACTTAAAATATCCTAAGATACCGTTTGGCAAAGGGTTAAGAGAGGGGTTAAGGAGACTTAACCCCTTCTTAACCTGCCAAACACAACAAATATATATAAGGGTTAAAGTGAGTTAACCCTCCATAATTGCCAAACATAAAAAATATAGAGGGGTTAAAATGAGTTAACCCCTCAAAATGAGGGGTTTACTAATACTCCTATTTAGATGGAATAAGAGTTAACCCTTCTAATTATAAAGAAAATAGTCAAAATCATTATTATTCCCAAACACTAAAACTGATCATAATGGCTAAAATAAAACTTATTTAACGGATTAATAATTTAGTCATTCGGATTATCAAATGGTCTAAGTACATTAATCATTCTCTTTAACCCATCTTCATTAACCCTTTGCCAAACGGGGCCTAAAGGGATAAAATTGTTCTATTGGAATAATTTTCCTAGTTGGCCCCAATTTATCTCAATCAATAACCCCCCTTAGTTTCAGATGGAGCTCAGTCTGGAGTAATTCATCTAGAAATAGAGAGCAAAAAGAAAATCTGTAAGACTGTAATTATACATAACAAAAGAGCCTTCTTTGTGTTTATAAGAAAATTAGAATCTGAAATTCAATTTTTGCAACATTAAGCTGTTATATGAAAGGCCAGATAAAGGCCATTACCAAAGCTGGGGTCAATAACTTGGTGAAACCTACTACATCTAAATATCTAATATTGGTGCTGTCAAGTTATTTGCTAATGCAGGTTTGATATATTCGGATATGGAAATAGTTAGTGTTTTTTCCCACTTAAGTTTACTTTTTCTTACTTGTACTACCGTAATAAATAGAAAGAGCTGTTGTTATCCTCCTCAAGAATAGAAATGGAGTCTTTTTGAGGTCCTAATTTGACATGTCACTTGTATTAATACTCTTTACTTATGACTCATATTGGTGTATATTCATTTAGTTAAAGGTTTTCTTGATCCTATTTTTTTATTAAAATTTTATGCAGATTTATTCTTAAGAGATAAACTAGTTGTCTATGATGCTGAGAATAAGCTCGTGGGTTGGAAGGAATATAATTGTAAGTAACAACTCATTCCTTGTGTCAAATTTCCTTGAACTATACAGAACTTTTAAATATTTTCTACTATTGGTTCTCCTTAATTATATCTATGTGTGTGTGTTGTGTGCGTACATACACACACATACATACATACATACATATGTATATGTGTGTATGTATGCGTGTGTATGTATGTACGTATGTGTGTGTATATAAATTAGAAAAGTTCTTGTAAATTTAAGGGCATAGTAATTACTCGTCCATGAACTTTTTTATTCATTGATTTTGCTTTGAGATATTTGCTTCACATCAAGGCCAACTTTGATATGTGTGCCCTCATATGAATTACATCCTAGCACGAATGTCAAAGAAAAATTAATGGTTAGAAAAGCTAGTAGACAAGTTGTGTGTGTGTGAGAGAAAAAGATGACTATGCTTGGTATCAAGGCCAAAAATGTTACTTGGTAGTGGCATGGCCAATTCTCATTTACACATTTAAACTTTCCTACTTGAAAATGTTCTCCAATTGTTTACTCACCTATTGAATGAATGGATGAGAAGTGGCCACCTTACTACCAAACACTAAATTTAATGCTTGGTACCAAACATGTTTATATCCCCCCCTCCCTCTCTCTCTCTCCAACACACACACACACACAAAACATATATAAATATATAGGAAGAGGGGGAGAGAGAGACTAATGGGTCTACTTGTTACCAAACACCAATTTTACCAAACACCAATTTAGTGCTCGGTAGTGATGTGGATGCTTCACATCTATTCATTTAAAAGTCTTCACTTAAAAATGGTTCCTATTTGATTACCCAACCATTAAGTGAGCGGAGCAGAAATGACCACATAACTACTAAGCATCAAATTTGGGGCTTTCCACCAAGCATACATGATGGATATTGTTCATTAACTTTTTCATCCATTAGATTTATTTTAATGTTAGTGTTGGCATGTGACACACATCAAGACACATCTTAAATTTTAGTTAACAAATTATCCCATCATTTCTATCTCGTAACCTTTGTAAATCTTGTCTAATTTATAAGGGGTATTGCCCCCTTGACTTTGAAAATTTGTTTTAACCTCCTTGAACTTATCTCACTTAATCCCACGAAAAATAACAACGTTAAATCTAACCTGTCCTTCACAAGTGACCTTGAAAAGAGCAAAACAATCCTCAATCGTAAAATATGTGTCCTCGTCTTTAGCTGGATGAGAGAAAAGGAGGAGATAGAGAGAGGGAAAAGCATAGTTAATTGGTGGGGTATTTTTTTTCAATTGAAATGTGTAATTCTCGAAATGGTTTTTCTGTTGTTTCACATCTTTAAGTAACGATGTTAGGGGGGTTGCACAAAAGTGATAAAGATCCCCGCAGTGGGCGGGGGTTGGGCTTACGGGACACATCATAGTTAGAGTGGGGTGTACCAAATTTTCAAACTTGAGTGAGATTATCTAACAACTTGAGAGGGGTTTCTCAAATTAAAGTAGCTCAGGGGTGGTTACCTGAGAAACCCCCCATAGTTGAGGTGCTTTCCTAAAAGTAACCTGTAAACATTTTGAATGACCACTTTCAGCACATGATTGATTGCAAATTTGACAACTAATTTTCCTATTTTCTATATCGAGTAACTTATTGTAAATCAAGACTATATTTGTTGCTTTAACAATGGTTGCTATTATTGAGCGATCTATTCCCCTACTTTCAAGTGCTATACTGTGTATTATAGCAATACTCATCCTTTTCATTCCACTAGTTATTTATGGATGAAATTAAATGTATTTTTTCTCATTAATCAAAATATGATAAAGAACCTTTAATTATTGTATTACTGATCAAGCTATAATTTATCTTAGGCTCCTCAAGCATTAAAGTTGAAGATGATACAACGGGCGGAGTTTGTGACATTAATGCACACAACTATACAGCCCCACTCAGCTAATCGGAAACGGGAATGTTCACCATTTTGCTGCTATTTCCTTTCCCACTGTTTTTAATGGATGGTGCCGCTCAAATAAGTTCGTTTGATTATGTTTTTCCCCCTTTCTTTTTGTACACTGAATTTTCACGTTTAGAGGTTGTTGACAATTTTTCCAGGATTGTTTCCGCTCTCAATAGGATAGAAAAAAAAGAGCAAGATTGTTTTTATGTGTTTTTTAATGTGTGTACGTGATATATAAGATTGCAATGTGGGAGTATTTGCAATTCCTTTTTCGCCTGACATACTAGTTCTGTCTAATTAGAGGCCGGGTTAAGTGAGAGTATTTGTTTATAAATTGTTGGTTTGAATCTGAAGATTAATGATACGAGATGTGTATGTAAGGGTTTCCTTGTTTGGAGTATTCCATCAACATGTTTTTCTCGTATTATCAATCTCTAAGATACTATTGCTTTTTTTTTTTGTTGGGGGGGGGGGGGTTGAATGTAAAACCCCATAAATTTTGGTAATATTATGAAAAATAATATTAAATAAGTTTTTATTATGATAAATAATTTTTTTATCATGATTAATATCATTTGGGATGAATGAATACGTTGATGATTGATTTGAGATCGTTCGAATAAATATGTATATGTGAAAGTATAAACATGCACGAATGGAAGAATCTGTATGCTGGAAATGGATTCTGGTCGGTCGACTGATGCTTGCCAATCAGTCGATCGATAGGAACTTATCAGTCGACTGATGGCAAGCCATCAGTCGATCGACGGGTGCACAAGAAGATTCTCAGTTTGTTTTGGATACGGGTCTTTTTGATTTGTTTCGGGTTTACCTGTATATATATGAGTATATATAATCGAAAATTTCTTTTTTTCTTCATATTTTCACGTGAATAATCTATTAGCCCTTATGTTTTGATGATGTCTTATAACCACCATTAACGGTACTAATGACTTATTGAGTGCAAATATAGTAAATTCATTTATCAAGCTTGTTAGTGCCATTTATGGAGGATTGGATGGAATATATGCTACAACGATAATATCCAAAGGAGGAGGAGGCATAGCGATGAAGCAATGTTATTTCAAGAACAACAAATTCATATAAAAGCTTCATCTAAACTCAAGCTATATCAAGACTCAAAGATTATATTATATGTGAGGATATTAGCTAGTTTTTATTCTCTCTCTAGTAGTAGAATGTAGGCAAAGAGTTATTGAATTCTCTTGAAGCTATTGGGACTCACACACACGTTTTCATACTTAAGCTTTTAAGCGTTTTTCACAAAATACTATTTTTCACAAGTATGAGGACCTATCTGCAAAATTCTTTTTCCAAACAGTTTGTTTTTAGTATTAAAAACATTTTACAAAGTTTCATAATTTTCAGAGGTCAAATAAATATTTTCCAAATATTTCTGTTGAGTCAAAACAGAGAGGTCGTCGGTCGACCAGTGCGGTAGACCGAAATCTCGATTTTTATATCGGTCGACCGCACTGGTTGACCGATGATGGCTCTGCTTGTTTTCTAAGTTTTCAAAGCTGCTCGCGGTCGACCGGATTTTTGGTCGGTCGATCGAATTCATCTTTTCAGTCGACTAAACATTTTGGCGGTCGACCGATTGTTTTTTCGGTCAATCATGACTTTATTCATCTTTTCGGTCGACCGAACGTTTTGGCGGTCGACCGATTGTTTTTTCGGTCAACCGTGACTTTTTCTCAAACGGTCGTTTACCTTGTTAACTGTGCTTTCACTTAACTGTGTTTGGCACAGTCTGTGTCAATGGTCTGAATAAGAGATTATTTTCTTAATAGAGAAGATTGAGTTGTGATTTTAAAATGTTTAATCTCTTCTATTTAAACCCAAACTTCTTCTTGTTCCTGTTGCCCTAACTTCTGCAAAAACCAGAGAGACACTGTCTTCCTGAGAAAAATTTTCAAAGTCTGTTTTCTCTCTCTAACTCTGGCCCAAGCATCAAGCTGTCCTCCGGCTCGGCCCAACATATCGGTGATCTACAAGGTCTCCCATACAATGCTTCATACGGGGCCATACCGATCGTCGCTTGATAACTATTGTTATAAGCGAACTCTACCAGTGGGATATGGTCCTCCCAACTGCCTTGGAAGTCAATGACACATGCCCGCAACATGTCCTCCAGTACCTGATTCACCCTCTCCGTCTGGCCATCCGTCTGGGGGTGAAATACACTGCTATAAGATAGTGTGCTGCCGAAAGAGTCCTGGAAACTCCTCCAAAAATGTGAAGTGAACACAGATCCTCGATCCGACACGATTGTGTCCGGGACTCCGTGGAGTCGAACTATCTCCCGAATGAAGATCCTCGCATAAGACTCAGCTGTATAAGTGGTCCTCACCGGGATGAAATGGGCTGACTTCGTCAACCGGTCCACTATCACCCAAACTGAATCATTCCCCTTCTTCGACTTCGGCAACCCCACAATAAAATCCATAGAGATATCTGCCCACTTCCACTCTGGAATGGGTAAAGGCTGAAGTGTCCCCGCCGGTCTCTGATGCTCTGCCTTCACCTGCTGACAGGTAAAACATCTAGCCACATAATCTGCAATCTCTCTCCGCATACCACTCCACCAGAATCGCCTTTTCAGGTCCTTGTACATCTTGGTAGTCCCTGGATGTACTGTGTACCGAGTACGGTGCGCCTCATCAAACAAATCCTTCTTCAGCTCTGCACTGGCTGGCATAACCAATCTACCCTTCATCCGAAGACCTCCATCTGCTCCAACGGTCCAGTCCACTTTAGGCTCTTTGGAAATCTCTCCCTTACGGGTTTGAATCCAAGAGTCCTCCAACTGAGCTCTGACAACCCTGTCACTCCAAGATGGCTGCACTGACATAGCTCCCAAGAATGCACTGGTTCCTCCAATCTCGGGTCTAAAGTCAAACTGGCTAAGAGTGATAAGGTCTCTGTGCAATGAACACCTCAAAGCCGCAATCTGATGTCGGCGCTTTCTACTCAAAGCATCTGCTACGACGTTCGCCTTCCCTGGATGATACTGAATCGTGACCTCGTAGTCCTTGATAAACTCAATCCACCTCCTCTGCCTCTGATTGAGTTCCTTCTGAGAAAATAGATACTTCAGACTCTGATGGTCTGTGAACAGCTCAAACTGTACTCCATACAAGTAGTGCCTCCATGACTTCAGTGCAAACACCACTGCTGCTAACTCCAAGTCATGAGTGGGGTAGTTCTGCTCATGCACCCTCAACTGCCGTGAGATATAGGCCACCACTCTCTGAGTCTGCATCAGTACGCCTCCTAAACCTGCCAATGATGCATCCGTATACACAACAAATGTTCTGTCACTGCTCGGAATAGTCAAAACCGGCGCTGTAGTCAACTTGGTCTTCAAAATATCAAAGGCCTTCTGGCACTCCATGCTCCAAATGAACGGTACACCCTTCTTCGTAAGGTGTGTAATCGGTGTCGCAATTTTCGAGAAGTCCTGGATGAACTTCCTGTAATATCCAGCTAAACCCAAAAAGCTGCGAATCTCTGACACCGTCTTCGGTGGTTCCCAATCAAGAACTGCCGTGACCTTAGCCGGGTCCACTGCTATACCCTCTCTACTGATGACGTGGCCAAGAAATCTGACTTCTGAAAGCCAAAACTCACACTTGCTGAACTTGGCATACAACTGGTGCTCCTGAAGGGTCCTCAACGCTATCCGTAGATGCTCCTCATGATCTGCCTCCGATCTCGAGTAAATGAGAATATCGTCGATGAACACGATCACAAACTGATCTAAGAAGGGATGGAAAACCCGGTTCATCAAATCCATGAATACCATGGGTGCATTGGTCAACCCAAATGGCATGACCAGGAACTCGAAGGATCCATATCGAGTAAGAAAGGTGGTCTTGGGAATATCCATCTCCCGAACCCTTAACTGATGATAGCCAGAACGAAGATCAATCTTCGATAAATACTGCGCTCCCTGCAACTGGTCAAACAAGTCATCAATCCTAGGTAGTGGGTACCTATTCCGGATAGTGACCTTGTTCAACTCTCTATAATCTATGCATAACCTCATACTACCATCCTTCTTCTTCACGAAGAGGACCGGCGCGCCCCACGGAGAATGACTCCGGCGAATAAAGCCCTGAGCTAACAACTCGTCCAACTGGGTCTGAAGCTCTCTCATCTCAGCTGGTGCCATGCGATAGGGTGCGCGGGATATCGGGGCTGTGCCTGGCTGCAACTCAATACAGAACTCGACCTCTCTCATAGGAGGTAACCCAGGTATGTCCTGAAAGACATCCTGATAATCTGAGACAACTCTAGTCTCCAATAACTCGGCTCCCTGATCTCGTCACATCACCTCCTCGATGTACGCCAAAAATGACTCCGCAAATCGGTTGCCCTGAGAGGTAGCTACAATCATCTCGGACCCATCGAACGCTCGCAACTTGACCGTCTTCGCAAAGCAGTCAATACTAATATGGTAGGAAGACAACCAATTCATACCAATGATGACATCGAACTCGGACATATGCAACACTATCAAATCCACTATGAACTCCAACTCGTCTAGACTGACGGTACACCTCCTACAAACGCTCTCCAGAAGCGATACCTCACCTAAAGGGGTGGAAACAGATAGAGGGGTGTCTAGGGGTTGAGCTATAAGCTGGAGTCTAGTCATAAATGCATGCGAAATGAATGAATGCGAAGCTCCCGAATCGACAAGAATATGGGCGGGAAGAGAGTTCACAAAGAACGTACCCTCCACTATAGCTCCGCTGGCGCCATGATCACGAGGAACCACTGTATATACCCTTCCCGTGGCTGAAGACTACTCTGCTAATGGTGCTGGAGAATATGGGATAATCTGTCCCTGAGAAACATCCTGAACTGCCTGAATCTGTCTCCCAGTTCTCTGAGCTGCTTGCGGTCCCTCAAGCCTGTTCTGCTGGCCCTGACCTCTACCCTGCTGACGCTGCTGCTGCTGCTGGCTCGGACCTTTGCCCTGCTGGGCTCCTGCTGGTGCGCTGCGGCACTCTGATACCTTATATCCGACCTTGTGACAGTTAAAACAAGTCCCCTGGAACTTGCGCTGCTGATGCGCTCTCTGATCCTGCTGGGGTCCCTTCTTATAAGGGCCCCGAAGCTGCTGCTTATGTCCAAAAAAACCTCTCTTGTTCTTGCCCTTGTCCCCACTCTGTCCGGTCTTGGCCTTCCCTTCCTTGTTTTTTCTGGAACATAGAAGTCTCAATCTCCTGAGAAGTGGCAGCCTCAGCTA